ACCGTGTAGATCGCCGTGCGGAGCGCAGATGGCATCATCCAGGCTCAGCTTCACATCGGCACCGAGGAAGGTGGGCTGGTGGTCGTTGGTGTCCAGTACGTCCACCTTGATGGACGCCACCTCAGCTACTACCGGAGACTCCTCAACCTCTTCCCGGGAGAGTCCGCGCACTTGCCCGCAACACAAACCCAGACCCAGTGCCGTATTCGTCCCGCTCCTCCCGGTCCAGTACCCCAGAAGTCTTAAGTAAAATATGCCCCCGTTGTTGTGCGCAAAGACACGGAATTCTCGCTCCCGTCCCCCAAGAGTTTAAAGTGCGCTGACGCTGAGCCGGTTCCCTCAGTACCGCACAGTCTCTGCGAGTTGAGCCGTTTCAACGGGACGCTCAGTCCGTTGACCCGGGAGCCCGGAGACGAGTTCTCAAACACATGCCGTGAAAGAACGGCACTGCTCCATGTTCCTGTTCCAAGTGCGCACCAAAACCAAAAAGGGTAAAAACGCGACCCAAATCAATGACGGATATCTCACTGGTTCCACTGCACTAAAGCGCTCGTGCTACACCAAGATCCATGGGTACACTCGCTCCTTGGGATATCTCTCCTCCCTTATATGATCCAAAACTTCCATTAAATTGGAACTCAGATATTTGCTGGCAACATACTTCAACCCGACGCAGGAGAAGTTTGTCTCTGTGTGTTTGTATTGCGTGTCCTCCTCCTCCTCTGTCCTCCTCTATCTGCTGTCTCACCAGCAGCGCTGTCTGTCTGTGCGCGTCCACGAAAAAAAAACGGGCTTCTTACAGCTCGAGTGCGCGCTTACCTCCGTTCCCCTCCTCGCTCTGCTTTTGCTTGCCCGTTTCCGATCTCGCACAGGGATCAACACTTAATCCATGAGTTGCTGCAAACTGCGCGCAACCTCACACCGGCTTCCTATAGAGACGGATCCCCTCTTATTAACGGGAAAACAGTAATCTTTGCTTCTCAAACGCACTGATGAGGACGCGGGTCATGATGACTTACACAGAAGCGGCCGTTTTTACGCGACGTAATGCCAAACAAGAGCCGCGCAATGCATCTGCAGAGTGATGCAGCGGTAACGATTCTCTCATCGGAAATGAAACTTCTCAGCAAAGCGGCAGCGAGTGAATCAACTCGTGCTCGCTCGCGCGCCCGCGCGCCACACAAACCACCCACACCGCCACAGCCAACAACCAGCGCGCAACCGTGTTGCGCTGAGCGTGTCTGTTTGTGTGTGTAGAGAGAGTGTGTCAGTGGATCCTCAGGGGGAAACAGCCCGACCTCTCTTCTCCAGTGATTCAATGTCCATTCTTGCACGTCCAGATCCATCACTCCTCTTTCCAATAACACGTCAGTCCATTGGATTAAAAATATGTAAAAATCGATCATTTTAAAACGCCTCCAGTGGGGGTAAAGAGAAATAAAGGCTTTTCAGCTCCAGGCAAGGACTCAGAAAGACTCAGAGCTGTCTTTATGTCACAGACAAGTGCCTATTTGAACATGTTCTTCACCCAGTGTGCTTTGCTTTGGAGCTTTGGTCTCCAGGGTTTTGTGAAAGTTGTTGGCAGGTCCCCAGCAGAATGAATAGTCTCAGATTAATATAACAGATAATTTGCTTTAATATATCAGCTCTCACTTTCATATCCCATCCCAACATGTAAGGTAGAAAGTGAATACAAAATCGACAAGACCCCCAAAATCCCTCCAGTGGATCCCTGCAAATAAATCTGAGAATGTTTTTTTTTGGAGGATCTTAGGCATGCTGCACGGTCATTATCTCATCCGAAGGCCAGTCTTCTGTGTTTCTTCTTTTTGTGTGCTTTTGCTGTTGTTTTGAACTCCTACTCACTAAAAACACTGCAGACCTGTGCAGTTTTAAAAGTTTCAAATCAGCAGTCCTTGGATAACCACAAGTTCAGAGCTTTACACTAAAAACTATGTCGTATATTCAGTCAAGTTTGGCTTGTGTGGGAGTGGATTTCATCAGTGTGTAGCTTAACATCAGATATGATTAAAGTCAGGATGAAAAGTGAATGTTCACCCAGATTCAATAAAAACACCTCTGAATTCAAGGGGTAGCTACAAACATTAGGGACCCACACAGACAGGCTGTATGACAAGAGCATTCGCAATGAGCCACTAACATTGACACACACACACACAAACACACACAAACACACACACACACACACACGGGCACACACGGGCACACACGCACATATGACCGTCCTTCGAAGAATTATGTCAGAAGCTGTCTCTCTCGCTGTGTTAAACTGTGGCTCCGCTCAAACTAAATCCCTGGAGTGAGAGTGAAAATAAGAGCGAGAAAGTAAGAGAGCAGGAGAGAGAGAGAGAGAGAGGGAGAGAGGGGGAGAAAATTCGAGACAGAGGGACAGACAGAGAGAATGAGATGGGATTACAGGGATAATGCGAGCAGATGGAGGGAGGTCGAGGCTCCAGCAGGACTCGCCACTCCAAATGGATTAAAAGACTTCAGCCGAGCCACCGACAACCGAGCCACCGACAACTGAGCGGATGCTGCGTTCCTCACGCTTCAGACACCGATCTGAGCCGGTGCCCCCCCCACCCCA